GCCAGCCTCCATGCATTCCTGTCTCAATCTGTCTTCGAGATACGGCGCGAGGACTAGAATCGATTAACGCGTTTTTCAACCGAACTACCCGGAGAATTTTATAGCTGAGGATCGGTACCGTTGAACCCCGGCAAACAATGAGAGGGCGACGATCAATTGTGGCTTAGACATGTTTGAAACTATTATTTCTGTGTTCGCTCTTTAGAGTTTAGTTTTTAAGTTCCGGATTTCACAGAATGTATTGCTCGACGAAGTACTGAAAATTCTGATGGTTCTTATTATAGTCGCAGTCTTTTATTATAGAATAACGTTTCAAGAAAAGCAGTGCTAATAGAAACGAGAAAAAAAGCACGCAGTTACGTGATGTTGAATAGGCCGTTTGTTTTCTTTCGATCGACCTCGTTCCCTTTATTTCCCGCCCTAACCATCTCTTATCGTCGTCTTCGAAGAAAATCTACCGTCAAAAGATAAACCTTCATTCCGACGTCGGCTGTTAGTTCGATCCTCAGCGAGGACTGCGCCGTTCTATTGATTATTGTCGTTTATCACGGGAGGAATTATTTTTTCATCTTGCAGAAGGGTCTCGCGACCCTATGGAAACCCCGCTATTTTTGTTCCCGGCACACTGAATTAAAAACGAAAACATACCGACGAGTAGGGTCGATAGTTCTTCCTGTCGTCCAATCATTTCCTTTCCTATAAGCTGAATTATAGCTTGGGACGCTGCGTGAAATCGGTCGTAAACAAGGTGGTCAGCCGCAGCGCTAACGAGTTCGCCATCGACGCGTTTCTCTCCCTTTCCAACCTGCCGATTAATCGGTTAATTCTTGGTAATTTCGTGCATTCCCGATTAACACTTGGCGAATGTGTTCCGCGATCAAACTGCGCGACATTCCCGGTTTGCAAATTTCAAACTGAGTTTACAGCCGACGAAATTGCTCGCAGAATTCAAACTCGCATGCATTGTCGAGTCGCACTGCTCGACTTTACGTTGTCATAAAAAATTACACGCGACGACGAAAAGGCCACAAGGTTATTATACTTTTATAGCGCGCCCGTAGTTTGCTGCGCCGCCGTGTCTTATCTGGTTATGTTGAGGGATACTCTTAAATATTAGAACGATTTTTAGATGTAGCAGTGGCTTGCGTGTTGCGATTTGCTGGTGACTTCGGATTAATTGAATATCGTCGACCACACAAGTGCTTACGAGACATGAGCTTGTCACGCTTGTTTGTACAGAGTAAATCGAATCACTAACGCACCGCGACGACAAGGCACATTGATCACAAATTGCAGTAATTCAAAATAGAATCGGTGAAATTTGCCATATCGAGGTCTCTCCCTTGGGACTTGAGACATTATGCAAACAGACATACGTAAAATTAACACAAATCGTAGCAACGTTATGGTATATTTGATGTTGAAATAAACAATTCTTCTTCGTTCAGAATTAAACATTTAACGAGAAGCATAAGGTTTTTTTGTGGTTACGAAAGACTATAATCGCATGCAAATTGTTAACTGTCTAAGTCAGTCGAAGTTTTCTCGTTCCCCGTTCAATCAAAATGCAAGACAGCGTGATCGAGTGCCGCGTCTTATCGTTCAACCACGCGACCCTCGTAAATTCCCTGCGTTTTCCCTGCCCTTTTCCCATCCTTTTGGTTCTTCGTTGTTGTATGCACGTTTCTCTTGTTGCACGTTTCCTCGAGTCGCGTGTCTCTATAATTCTCCCCGCGCGAAGGCTACAATCACCGAGAGTCGTGTTCTTGTTGCTTACACGCGCTGATTTACGAGCCGTACACGTTCTACCCCGTTCTCTCCCCAACGTTTTCGACGGTCTGAAAATCCGTTTTCAGTTTTAATTAACGCGATCGCCGAACGAGCGAATAATTAATACCGGCTAAACGAATAATCAGAGATTAAATCAAGCGCGGTCACACGTTCGATTTTGATCCCGTATGAAGTCCGCACGACGGCTTCCGTCCTGGCCACCGTTTCCGATCGCACGTTTTAATTAAACGTCTTAACCCAGAAGCGGAAAATTACGTGAGACCTCCAGCGTCGCAGCGCGTGACATCATCTGGCATTCCATTTCGCGCCTCTCATCGGTATTCAAAGAAAGCGATCTTTTAATCATCATCTACATTCCACGATCGCCACGGTGAGATTCGACCGTGAGATCGTTACGGGTTTTCCGCTAATTGTCCATCGAACTCCTAACTATTCCCTGCTCCCGGCGTTCTAAGACGAGTCAATTAACCGGTGCGATTCTTATTAAACTTAAACGAGTTAGAACGATTATGATCGTGTTGCTACGACGGACGCACGCTTATTTCTCTTCCTACTCGATTGCATTAATAAAAGTCGGATACTAACGTGGGAAACAGGATTCGCTAGGAAAGCGAAGCATGCGGTCGCGATTCTCTCTCGTCCCGTGGATACGTGTTTCGACAGATCGGCGGAGACGCGGTTCCCGGATGGAAGTTTCGCCGGGCGAACGATTACGTGTATCTCGCCTGGCACTCGTGTTATTCCATTAGCCCAGTTGAGAGTAGACCGGATCCAGCGAGATCGTTGTAATTAGATTATCTGCATGGTAGATTGCAGAGTGCGAGTATATACATATACACTTCTTTTGATTCCGACTACTCTTACATGGTGCCGTTGCACCTTCTCCGTTGTGGTCCTATCTAGGTTTCGTGGACCAACCGTGATTTATTAAGGTGGCAAACAAAATTATGAAAATTGCAAATTAACGAATGACGATGTTATTTCTTTTATATGTCAAAAGGGATTTTCATTACGCGATAAGTTAAACAGTGTCCAGAAACGGTTAATCGGAAAAAGGGTGGATTGTTAAAGGTCGATTACAAAGAGGATTAGTCTGGTTTTGTAATTAGGTATCAAATGCGTTTATACTTTCTTCGTTGGGAACTAGCAGAAAACTGCGGGGAATCTCGTTAGATCGGCAATCCAGAGCGGAATCTAGGGTCCAACTTCCGTGAAATGGACAATGTCGTTTTGTCCACGTTAGGTGGCAACGATGAAATGCAATTTAAATCGGCCGACAATTCGAGAAATCGTCGGATCTGGGGATAAAAGTGTCAGGACCGATTGAATGTCGCGTGACGAGTTAACGAGAATTCGATTTCGCCACTGTGCTTTTACTTCAGACGAGGAGTGGTGGAAAATAAACGGAAAAGAAGCAGGAATCTCGTTGACCGGGAAAGCTAGTCCCTACCGGTGGTTATTAAATTCGCAAAACTTTCGTTGTCGCTCGATTTTCAAATTCGAACGTACCACGTGCCGGGTTCCAGTAATTTCTCGGTTCTGGGTCACGCTATCGATGTCAGCGTGACGAGAGAGAAAGAGGTTTGCGGAACACGGAATTCAATAAATCGAAAGTCTCTCTTATGTGGTTATACGTCCGGATCATTTTGGGTTCCGCAGCAGGTTTACTGTGGGACGCGCAAGCGCTGGCAAATTTAATTTATTTCTTTTTTCTCATTGCTGAATGTATAAAAAAAAGGAAATATTTGCCGGCGAAAATTACGATAATACGTGCGGCCGCCCCCTCCTCGGTCTATTCTCGCGGAGGCAAACGAAATTTATGAGCGTTCGTGTTACGTGAGCCCGATTTGAACGGAAGATTAAAGCAGATCTCGCGGGACTCTTTCGTTCCTTCCCACGCGCGAAAGAGCAACAATTTGGTGAGTCGTCTGTTCCGTGGTTTATCGTTGTTACGTTTTACGTAGTGTCGAACCGACCGGGGAAACAGACGTCGGAAAAAACTGTTTTTATTGTCACCGAGCGATAAGGTATCCCGCAGTCTTTAAGAAGGTAACCGAGTCGTGACTCGCCATGTCACTCCGAATGCACTCAACCGCCGCCGTCTACCTTTTTCACTCATAAATCAAGCCGAGACAAAAGGCGCCACCGGTTATTAAATCAACGCTTGAACAAGGTTTGTTAACAAGTTCTAATGCGTCGCTTCCGACCTTTTTCGTCTGAAACAAACCGTCTAATCGTTTCCAAGTAAAGTACGCAATTATTTTATCTGAAAGACAAATCCTACTTTAAATTAATATCGCGTTCTTATCGGTGATCGTCGAAATCTCGTTTGATCGAAATTCAATCAACGTTTAACGTATCAATTACCACCATCAATTACTCGGTGTTGATATTGTCAGTAATATGCACCCGCGGATGGGTAGCTGGATGTCAAGTCGACCGTCAAGTCGTTCAATCGATCCTCTCGGCACTGACGCGGCGTTGAGACGCGATTACCGTGAACAGCGCGAAAACACGTTCGTGGTTGCGTTCGTATCCGCACGAGTGATAAACTTCAGTGGGTGATATGCCCACGAGGCGTGTTTCCCCAATTTTCAGTTGGGAAACTGCGAGTCACTCTCACGCTATCGCTGTAAGATCTCGCGTACATTTTTCTCGAGAGAGAACCCCGACGAGCCACCCTCGTTTCGCGAACTTCCAAACAACGTCGTTTCTTCGCTTCCCAACTTTGATTACAGTATTTTAGATAATTAGTGACAAACGAATTTGTTACGGAATTACACTTTGTAAAAATAGGAGAATAGGAACTTTGGGTTTGTTTAGTTAGAAAACATGATTCTGATATAGGTCGAAGTTTGAAGCTATCCTATTGTTTACTGTGTGCCGCAGCGAACTGTCCACTACATCGTTAAATCGTGCCACCTGTGGCTACCCTGTCCGTCCCAATTAGTCGCAGAACAGAAAACTTGAAATCATTAAACGATGACTCGTATAAAGTACTCCTATCCTTCTTCTTTTACTCTTATTGCGCGATTATAATTCGCAATCGAGAACGCAAACTTCGTTCTTTTACAATTTTCCCCCAATTTTCAAGCAGAAAATTTCTATCTTACACTGTTTCGTCTTGTCAAAGAGAAATATGGTAAAATATGGATGAGTATAAAACAGACAACGGTTCTGACGATTCCATTAACTCGGATTATTTGCAGACGAGGCAGAGCAGCGGGACGATAGGGAGCAACGAGGAGCAAGAAGGGACGAGAACGAGCAGCTGTTCCCCGAGGACGTCGTCGGCCACGACGATAACGATGACGATGACGACCACGCCGACAACGCCGACATCGACGATGACAGTCACGTCAATGACGCCACCGTTCGTGCCCGCGGAATCGGAGCCATCGATATCGTCCGTGGAACAGCAGCAATATCGTTGGCCATGGCAACAGGCTCAGTCCTATGCGAGGACCTGCCCGATCACGGCTACATCGTCCACCGCGTATTCGACGTCGGCTTCGTCGTCGACGGAAACCGAATCCAAGCTGGCGGCGAACGTCCTCTTCTCTCTGCCCGCGTCGCCGCAAAGATTAGCCACCCTATCGGCCAGCAAAACGCCTAGCATTTCTAAATCTCAAATGAAAGGTGAGTCGTGTTAAGTGATAAATACATGCATTGGTTCCTCGAAACGATTTATCGTTAGAACTTTAATAACTCATTATAGATTAATCCTGTTCGTATAAAAGTTTTTAAGGTTGCATTGAAAAATAGATCAGACATGATATACAGCTTCATGAACAAGTTGTCAAGTTCCATTTCCATATATTACACGTAGTTTGAAAGAGTAGGTAGTAGAATATTTCCCGGCGAGTATGCGATTCTTAGAACGAAGATAATCCGGTTCTTACTGTCTGAATCCGGCGATGTACGTCAAAGTAACTTTTCCTGCAAATTAATGGGTACAAATGAATGTAACGGGGTATTCTCTTCGTGCTTGGGTGTAAAATATGATAGCACCTCGCTACACTTTAGTGCGAATTTAATGCGATTCAACGATTCGCTCTAAACTTCGTTCTTATTCAATTCGAGTGAACAGAACCAGGGCAACGGAGATATAGTACTTCTCATGTGATTATTTTCACGAGAGACAACAATGGATTAAATATGAAATAAACATAAATTAGTTAATTGCAAAAATGATTGAAATCGTGCGAGAGAATTTATTGCGATAAAATTCTTCCGGTGAATTCATCCGAATGGTCAAACACATTGTGTTCGCGGACATTCGCCTGCTTTTTAATAATTCAACGTGATTAATCAAAGTATGGTTGCATTTGATTATATCCGTAATTGACTACGCAACAATGCATAAAATGCAAAATTAGCTTTGCTATTATGTATCATTTCATAATTCGTATTCCAAACAGCGATTTATTATATATATCTTCCACATTCATTATTATCAGCATGGTTTAGGTATTCATGAGGAATATCACTTTGGTTTCGATATTCCTCATATGTATAATCGCAATTTAAAAATGCTTCCATTACTATTACCGTATTTCGTACATGAGACATTTTTTAAATTAGAAAGAATCGACCGTGGGTTATCCCGATTGCAATATTTTAATCGATCATAGTTACAGTCCGTCGCGTCGTTAGCGTCGACGAAACAACGTTCTTTTGCGTTAACGATTAGATTACAGACCTATGTAGAACTTTTATAATTACCACGGGCTCCGATCGTTTTTCTCATCTCTGAAACACACTTTTTCCAATGCAACTTGTTTCTGATTAATTCGGATTACCTTTTAAACGAGAGAGTCGACTAATAGTTAATTCTCTTTTTCCGAGGTTTAGTAAAAAGTACCGAAAATTCATCGGTTAACAGCGTAGAGTTCGACGAATGTGACACGTGAAACTGTTGAAACGTCCGTTTATGGAATCGGTGAAATTGCCGGACGGGCATTCGTTCAACGGCGAGATATGCCGCTACGTTAAAGGCAAAAGGATGTCGCAAACGGAATCCGAATCAAAGAAAATCCCGTCTACGTCGTTTGTTGAGCGAACTGGACGCTGAAATATGCTGGTCCTTTTACTGAAAAGCAACACGCGCACTCCGACACTGACTTAAACTCCCGTTGCTACTTTCGTTTCGCTCTCGTACTTTTTTTGAAGGGTCTCTATATACTGACACGCGCTTTATGCGCTTCCGGTTAGGAACCCGACTCCGTATTCAATGAAAAATTGGGCTAGCTTCTATATCATATCATTGATTAATGAACTTTTGAAACTTGAAATGCGGAATCTCTCTGTAGCACATGGTCTAATTTCTAACTTGATCTTGTCCTAATTTATACCGATGTAAAGGTAGCCTCTAAAAAAACTCAGATTCAATTTTTTTCATAGATGTATTCTCGTTATTTTCGTTTTCTCGCTTTATGATCCCGGTTGAGGGGAACGCTGTTGACGTCGGTTTTCCTTAGTTCGCGGTTCTCCGTAGTCGTTTAACCATTAACGCGGAATCACGGTTCTTCGGCTCGTCCGTCTCCTGTTTTCGCTAAACCAGTTCGAATATAATAGCGTAGCGGCTGGTGTGGAACGTGACTGTAGGAAGAGGATAGTACGCGGTACGTACAAAACCAATGGACCATGAAACGAGGCTATTAAACGGTCGAGTCGAGCACCAACGATCCAAGTCCTAGAGAAGTTCGTGGCCCTCCACGTCTCATGCCCACCGCAGACATCAAACATCACGGAATGTTATCGACCAGACCATTTAATCAGATCGAATCAGACCCCCCTTTGAACCCTTCGACACGAAAAAGATCGCCGCGATTTCATCCTATATGACCCACGGTTCATTATCTTTTGGTTACCCTTTGATTCCCAATGCTGTCAGCATAGTTACCCACGGGGCCACTCTTCATCGCCTCTCATTGTGCTCCTTTGCAATGGTTGTATTACGCGTCATTCTTTGAGAATATCCAATTGGTAATGACATTTCTAAAACGGTTGTTCCTGTGTTCACAATTTTCATCGAACGTTAACGAAATAAAGTCGAAAGGAAATCACTGAATTTTACTAAACGTCGTTATTCTTTTTTCTAATTTAGATTTAATTCGTTTGTTCTGATTATCAATTTTTGGATAAGAGAACAAAGAACATGAAAACGTTATTGTTACAGAGTTCAGAGAGGCTTTCAGGCTGTTCGACAAGGATGGAGATGGGAGCATCACGAAAGAGGAATTGGGAAGGGTGATGCGTTCACTGGGACAATTCGCGAGGGCTGAGGAGCTGCACACGATGCTCCAAGAAATCGACATCGATGGTGAGTTCATTTCAACGTTTTCAGTTAAATAGTTTCAATTAATGGGAAACAAGTAATAATCAGTAATATACTATTCCATTAACTGGACTGCAAAAGCGAAACAAACTTCGGCTTAGTAACGAAGTCGAAATACACAAAGTGTTCTGGAAACCGCGATTCGACGCGGCGTTAATCGAAAACTTCTCATTAATATTCAACGGTCCTGTGAAAACGAATCCACGCGGGGCAGTTCGTTAAAATTCGAATAACGCCGTTCCTGACCGCGTAGCTAAATTCATTAGCGACACATCCGATAAAGCGCAACCCGCGCCTAGTTCGCGTTACCGAATAATAATATCCGTTTTAGATTTCCAAGTGTTTTGTAAATATTACAATTTCCCAAACTGTTTTATCTTATTAGGTGCCAACTGCTTCTAAATCTCTACTATTAAGAAATTGAATTATATTATTTCGTGATAAAAATCCGAACGAGTTGACGATCCAACTCCCAAAGGATCAATGGAAGTTTACCATTGGCCCGTGTAACCACGTTGCCCCATTTAATCCTTTCTGCCTGGCAGCATCGCCTTAATTGCAGCTAATTTTCACAGACAATAGAGAGGGCGATCGCAAGGGTAGTCTGTTTATTACACCAGATCCAGTCCTCCGCACCCTCCGCCTTTCGTTCGTTATTTTCTTCTCCTCGTTGAACTGTATTCTTCAAGGAAGCCATTTTCGTTTACTCGTTTCCTTGTATCCAGTCGCTCAAAATTTCGCCTTGACTGCTTCAATGAATATTCTCATTGCTCCGACTCCTAATAACAAAATGCGATCTCGTAGTCTCAGAAAGGATGAGGCTAGTCTTTCAGTGAAAATTAAGTATTGTCCTCGTTTTTATTTATCAATTCAGTTGCCTCGTCAGAATGAAGTAAATGTTCGTTTATAGAATTCGCATGACTGTACAGCGGCTTCAAGCGACGTTACACCGGAGATGCATATAAAGGTATATGGATACCTGTTGCTGATTCCTCCTCCGCTCAAGGAAGCTTGTTTTATTACAAAAGTATCATTGATTCTCTGCTTTACGATTCATTCGCTTATGCCATACCCCACCTCTCCGTGGAAATTTGAAAATCTCGTGGACGGAAAAAATCTACTGCGGTGATGCATGCCCGGTGTCCGGTGGTAGTTTCGCATGAAAAGGTCTATTCGAACCGGGGAACGTGAAATTACTTTCACGTCTAAACAAGCGTCACGTCGCGTTAGTTCGTCGCGCGTCGCGTCGGCCCGTTTCGCCGTGACGAATCCGAAAGCTGTCGTCGTCAATGGCGAACCAGTGTTTACGGCGCGGAAAATTCTACCTCTGCATGTGGCGATCTGTCGTCGTCGCAAAACGTTGCACTAGTTGCGCAACAGTGAATGGCTCACTATCGTACTTTGACCACACTGACAGAATTTTTATTAATTTAGCGTTACTTTGGAAATAACGAAACGCAGCTACGATTACTCTGTGCATTTAAAACACATTCGACTTTTCAGCAAATAGATTTTATAATTCCTTTCGGCGCCTTTTTATCCCTGAGATAATTTAATCCTCCGTTTGCTCGCTGGCAATCTTGCTTTACGCAGCAACGTTTACCGTGCAACACGTTTTTCACCCCGTTTTCACACAGTCTGCATTACCCGTCGCAGACTCGGTAGTTCGTAACTTTTTAATAGTTTTCTTTTACGAACTTTGGTCCATCCTGATTACAAGCGAAACTTAGTTTAACTCATCCCACAGGCGGATGTAGTTAAACAGGTAATTGAGAGACATTTGTCACCAGTAAAATGCCCGTCCCTTTCGTCGTACGTAAAATCTAGCGAGAGGTGTAGTATTAGTGTGTACTTTTACATACGTTTATCATCGCACTCGAACGTCGCTCCTAGTAATTGACTTGTTCATTCAATTCTCGTGTCGAGTACGAGCGAAGAACGCAAATCGAGAGCGACACGATTCGTCTGGACCGTTCTGTAGTTGCGCGAGGTCTCTCTACAAGTCTGCTTCGAATTTCGATACTAAAACTAACTCCCAGTAGCTGGTGCACGAGTAATTAGAAGCAGCCACGGCGGAGCGTCGAGGAACGAGAGCAGAGCGCGCGCGCCTACGTAATCGGGACTCGTTTCACCGTCGATGCATCTCGTCCCGATGAATGCAAACCACCTACCTACGTCCGTTATGTATCGCCGCATTGAATAAAGAGAAAAAAATATTGAAGAGATGAAAAAACATGAGAAAACGCGAAGAAAAAAATAAGTACGTAGCTACGTGCTGTGTGGGAGTATAGATTCTCGTTTTCATAGAAATCTTCCCTTTAATATATAACTCCCATGTTCTTTGAATGCGATTAGTTGCTTCATGGATTTTTATTCACCGTCATTAGAATCTATGAAGCCAATAAATAATTTTTTTTTTAACAATATACAAGAACTGTATGCACTATTTCTAATATTAAAAGTAAGTGCAGAAAGTAAACTTCGACGATTCCCATGATGCTTCATCGAACAGCTCGTATGCAAAACGAACTTTTAAACGGCGCATTCCATCGACTATTAGGATTGTAATTTCCAACAGCGTAATTAGTTGAATTCAGGAACAAGTTTCGACTTCAACTCACAGTAATCTCTATTTGGTTTTACGGTTATAGTATGCGTTGCGCGGAATATTGAAATGTAAGCACACGTATGAGCGACTGTAAGTTTCTGCGGCGCGTAGAATGTCAATCTGTATGACCGTGTTACGTTTGCGGTATTTAGGAACACGAATGTCCAATCGCGAGTCCCACAGGGGGTGACTTGGGTGCTCGTGTTGGCTACGAGTGATCGGGGATCGTTATTCATCGGTGAAATAGTTTGGCGACGAGATCGAGTTTCTAGAAATGGAGCGCCAATTGATTTTCTCATGGACTCGGTTATTGCTGCTATACCCGCCGTATTTCTGGCTTCCGAAACCATTACTGAACGTGAGAAATCGACTGACAGCCGTTCCTGTGTCAAAACGAAGTTTGGAAAAGCTTTTCGACTCGAATAAAAATGATCATTCTCAAAACTTTTCGTTATTAAAGAGAAATAACGTCCCTATACTGGCAATAGAAGGTATCTATGTATTTAAGAGGCCTCTTCTATTTATCGCACGCTGTTTGTTGCATCATCAAGTGCTGCACGTAGCTTGGGTTAAAGTTTGAACACTCTCAATACGGTGTGTTGAAAGACTATAGTATCCGGTAGCTAAGTAACTGCAGGTGCACTCGTGGTCGCTTCTTTCTGAAAGGGTGCTCGCGGGGAAAGTTACATCGCAAATTCGCTTGGAGTTGACTTTGAAGACGCTTCAGGGCTCGATCGATTCGATTCGTTGAGTTGCTCGCGTTTCAAGCGGAAATTAGAGATTTTTCGGTACACTACTAAAAATGCACCAGCACAGACGAAGTATACACGTGGACCGAACACTTTATGTGCTTCTGTGTCTCACGTTCGACTGTTAAAATTAAGGACAATTTAGGCATCCTCTGTTCATGAATGAAACGATTGAAGAATTTGTCAAGGTAACATTGGATAACAAGAGGATGGTTGTACAAATATACGAGAATGAATTTACACTTGTATTCGCTCAGTACTGTTTTTCGCTATTTTCATCGATTTCACATCCAGATTTTCTTGGAGAGCAATGATTTAAGCAATATTCGTTTAACAATGATATTTATTCTAAGTAATTATCTGGAGCAGTGACGGAGGGAAGGAAAGCATGTGTCCTGTGAAATTGCGTACGTATAGGATCGCGATTATATTTCACTGCCCGAGAATAGGAGCATCGGGTTTCAAACGTAAGCGTCGTTGATCGCGGCAAGCGACTCCAATTTCCAAAACGGGTGAATTAACAGGAACCACAAAAATTCTATTGTCGGATCTCTGCCATCGAATAAACGATGAAGCTTTCTATCTGCAATTCCACTGGAAATGCTTGGTATGGTACATATTTCAAAGCCGCGCATTCCATAGCTCGTATTGGGGTGCGTATTCACTTGAGCATTCGCTCCGAACAGATTTCTATCGAGCATATTGCCATACAGGCTTACGTTAGTTCGGTCTAAAACGTGACCGCTTCGAGTTTGGCTACACAGCTAAGTCGCTTACTCGAGGGAAACGTGCATTACGTATTCTTAACTAGTGAGAGACATTATTTTCGGGGAACGGAGACCGAGCCTCGTAGTATCGTAGCTTACGAACATAGAAATCGTTGATCGCCTATTGCGAACGTAAAATAGAAGATGCATCATAATCATCAAATACCGTTGCATGAAACGAGTTGGAAGGAAATACGCTGTTCGAAATCCGATTTCAGATATTGCATGGATATCGATACGCGTAAAGTGGGGGCAGATAACATTCTCGACGAGGTTCGAAGTTAAAACGAATTGGACGAGCAAAGGGGGCGAATGCTTCTCTATCCGTTTCAAACCATTCACCCTTTTTTTTTTACGTTTTTCTTATGGTTCGAACCAGAAACGTCGTTGAAAGAATTGCTGCTGTTTGTGTAACTTCTTCCTCCCTTGCTACACCAACTTGTTTCGTTCTCGTTGTGGCGTTTATGCTCCCACGCGGTGTTCCCTTCGCTAGAAACGCGCGCGACGAATTTAAATTTACCGTTTCTGCGCCTGTAACAAGTAATCCGCGGTGTTGCTGTGCCACCTCGATAAAGCATGCACCCATTTTTTCACTCTCTTTTTTCCTCCTACACGTTGCGACTGTTATTCGCAATTATTCACAAGTTTAGCACGGTTTCATGGAAATCCGTCGTGAGCTCTTCTGTCCTCTCTTTCCGAGCAAATAAATCAAATTTGTACTTTGTGCGTTCCCAACTCTGGCAACTATTTGTAGTCTTCGATCCATCGAAAATATTTTTATCCGCGTTGTTTATTTACTTGAAATTCGCTGAAAAAACATTTCGTTGTTTTGAGTTTACTTAGCATCAGATGGCCGAGTCCCATCGATATTAGATCCTGACATGGTTCAAATTATAGAAAAATAGTCCAATCCCATCCAGCGAACGGTAGTTTTGAAGAGGATCGTGCCGTTCATACACAGCCATTCCTTCGCTCACGCTGCGAAACGCTCGAGCTTGTACAAAGTTAATAATTTTCAAGAGACGAGCTCGTTTTCCACGCCGCCTACAGCAGCACGCGCTCTTTGCCGATGAAGTCGTCAACTTACTCGCGATGCGTCAAGAGATTCCAAAGTGGTATGCGGTTACGTTGGCCTCCGGAATTTACCGTCCGAAATCCTAACGCGCCGGTGCGCTGCAGTGGTCTCTCGTGAATCTCGTTTATGTTCGCGCGAATTTACGTGTGGACGTCGCACTCACTAGACGCAGCCAACTAAAACGGATGCTTGCTAGAGTGCAAAGGTAACCGGAGGAATCTCGTTTGTTAGACGATTACTGAATCCGGACAAGGTGCATCGCGTGCTTCGCCGTCGCGTCATTCCCAACGCGAACACGTGTTAATTCGTCGTAACAGCACCTACACCAATTAAAACTTAGCTCGCTGTCTAAATAACGCTATCATTTACAGTAACGATCTGGAGTTTCGCGAGCGCTCCATCTTGTTAAGTCCGGTGCAATACCGTAGAACGTTTGAAGTACGTTTAGAACATTTCACGAATTTTATGTATCAATTGTGTTCATTGTTCTCCATTTTATATATAAGACAGAATTTTTTGCTCGAATGGGATAAATTGTCCGGCAATATTTCGGAAAATACGGATGAGAGATTTCTCGTTTAGGACCTCGGCTCGATAATCCAATTTATCGATGGAAAAAGAAGAGCGAATGACCCAGCAATTCTTCACGTCCGGACGTTTAATCGCTCGAATAAACGAACACTGCTTATCTCAATACACGTAGACGATAATATTCTCTGTATTAGTTCACGTGGACACGGAACCGAGAAAGTTAAACACGCGATTACGCACGCTTTATGTAGAGACACGCCGGAAATCCTCGAGCGTCGGCCGTTTTAATCGCGCGCAACTTGTGACGCTATACGTGTAGCATTTTAAGCCGTCGGACAATGCGACGGAAAAACCGGAACCTGTTCGTCGGAGATCGTCGGGAATTAGAGGAGGCACGTTCCAGTTTGATGGATCGCGTTTTGTCACTTAACTTATTCAATGGAGCACGTCCCCGCTATCTGGATTGACGTCTTCGTCACTGATTTCCCTTTCACTAGAAGTGATGTAAAACGATAGATAAAACCGGAGCATGTGTGAATCGCTTTAACGTGTGGTAAAAAGCTGCATCATAAATTCTTATATGATGCGTTTATAATAACGTTGAAGCAAAAAAACGTGGCACTCGTTTTAAATGACGACGGTTGTCCGTCGAGAGTGCGGCGGGGGGCAATTACGATAGGGGAAAAAGCGGTTACGAGTATAAACTGTCGGGTGACAAACTATCTTCTGCGACGAGGTCGTAAATCACTAAGATTGCCGCCGGAAGTTTTTACTTCGAAATCCGTACAATTTCTGAGCCAAGATAATCCTCGAAAAAGTTTGCTCTTGGAGCCGCGAGTCTTGTTTAACCTCCGAAGTTTTGTCGCATCCCAGTGCTGTTAGAGAAGGTAGAGGAGGGGAGCGGGGGTGTTTGTGAGGGAAACGTCTTTGCCGCGGAAAAATTGCCGCGGGTAAACTAAAGAAGTGCGGAACGGTTCGAGAGTACCAAGGAAATTCCCGTTCTCTCCCCGCGTTTTAAAGCCATCGCCAATACCGGAAGCTTGAGACAGCAGTCGTTATGCAGTCGGTACACAATGCTCGTCTGTTTGCCCGGGCGTAATCGTCGATGAGGATTTTCCTTTTCCACGCGAGAAAATGGTTATTTGTTTGGGGATGCTTTCAGGACATGATCGAAGAGCGAATATCTTTCGATGGTTCTGACCGCTTCTTCAGCAGATCCTCGATGGATTTCTTCGAATTTAGGCGGCACCCGTTCGATCGTCATTCCCCGAAAGAATTCGCGCGGTTATTTAACCGGTGAATTCTTCCCCGGCTTCTGTTCCATATTTTATACGGACCCGGAGACGCGAGAAGCTGGAGGAAAAACGCAAATAACGGAAAACGCGATTTCTCCGCTGTGGTGGAAAGCAGCTTTCGCGCGAGCTTACATCGCTGTCGAAAAGTTCGTTAATCCCTCGTATCGCGGCTTCTGTATTCTCGCCTCGTAACGTTTCCCTGCATCTAGCCTCTTTTACCGCGAGCTTCAAGGAGGACGAATCGAAGTTGTTGGAAAGTGTAGAAGACGAAAAACTGTAGAATCTTCCCCGTGCATACAGGGTGGATAAGATTTTATCGAGACGGGATGAATAGCTTGCTGGTGATAAAGTGTCGCATTTAACAAGGGGGGGAAAAAATAGGAGCAGAGAAATGCGGAGTGGTATTTGGGAGTAAATGGAAGTCATCTTGTTGGATAAAAAAATTCCTCTAAAAACAGAAATCGGAATGACGTCGGTGTGTGATACGTTATTTTTTTTTTCCCTGTTTCTGTTGTTGCAGGAGATGGAAATGTCAGCTTCGAAGAGTTCGTGGAAATCGTGAGCAACATAGGTGCCAACGAAACCGCCCCCACCGACCAGGACCAGGAGGAACAGGAGCTGAGGGACGCGTTTCGGGTACGTTTCGCTTTTTTATCTTTTACCTCTTTGTCCCGTGAAAGCTCTGACTATACATTGTTTCAACGGGATCGCCGACACGGAAAATGCCTATATAGATAAAATTGCATTGATGGAACTGTTCGTATAACGATTTTACAATTGTTAGATACCGTTAAAACATCTGTTGCAGAAGGAGTTTTTTTGTTAAACGATCTTTGACAACTCGATTATTCCCACTAATTACGATTTGATTTTGCCAATCGAAGGGTATTGGGTTCAGGAATTCGATTTCACGTGGCATTATTAAAATTAATTGCTGAACTAAATTCCAAAAATTAAATGGTATATTCAGATGAAAATGTTTCATGACAAAAAAATGTTTAAATAAAAAGCGTCCCAGTAAAATTCCATCGAGCTAAGAAAAGTATAATAATATTCACGTACACCTCTAGTAAAATCACTTTATACATATATAAATTACACATCGTCTTGTATTAAATACGGAAATTCGTAAAATTCCGATGTCCACGTAAGTACACCCACGTTGAAATTTTCGGTACACGTCCGCCCCAGACGAAATGTACAAAGCCCCGATGACGGTACCATGCATTCCTACGCGCGTATGCATAACTTAGTGCCTCTACGTGAGAAGTAGCCACCCGTTAAGGAAAACAAATCTCTGCGAGAACCGAATCACGTAGATGGCTTTACATTTAAAATAACGCTAGATACAGTTATGGACCAACCGACGCGACGCGGCGTTATCGTTGTTCCACCGGAAAATGACGTCAATCTGGTTAGTTTCCGCGAGGATAAACTCACAAATCTGTTTAACTTTTATTAAATTACAAGTTGCACATCGTTCCTCTCTTTCCTCTCTGTTGACAATATTCGTTTGTGTCAATCTTCAGCTTATTATTATGCAAAACCACGTTTCGAAATAAAAAATTTCCAGGACGAGAATAAGGAAAACGGGAAGAAAATGGCTATTAAATATTTACAGGAGGGAATTGTTCCACGCTGACGAAAACCGTGGCCCTAGGGGAAATGCGTGAGCAATTGTTATAAACTGCACGTTCCCGTGGCTCAAAAATGTTCAACTCAGAAAATATGGTATTCTTTGAATTTAAAATTACGCGAGAATATTGTCTGGGAAGAGTCGTACGATTATAAATTTAAAAATCCTCCTATCTTTAAATGAACTATAAAAATTACGACAGCTGAGGTAATTTAGTGAAACGCGTTATCGAGAACGCGGCTCTTTGTTCTGGAGCCCGTCGGGTATATCGTAAATCTACACTACTTGAATACAGACGTTAATAATAATTATCAGATAACGAGTAACGGGCGACAGATTTTGTTAGACGGGACAAAGCTTTGCGCGGACATGGCTCTCCTACAAAGGCGCTCCGTCCGATTCCGACGAATTTGTTTGACACACGTGTTGCATTAGAATTGAACACACACAACAGATGGACAATGGTAGAATAAAATATATAGTCGCTTCGTTGCAGTAAATTCATTCGATAAATCTCAAATTTCGCATCTCTGCTCTGCGTTTCGCGTTGCATGTATGCGCCCAAAGTAAATTAATTACCGGAGTAATTATTTTAATTAAATACTATATTGCATCGAAACAAATATTCGATTACAATATAATTATTAAAAGACAAACGGAATTAATAAATTTCACGTTTTGTCAAATTAATATAAAACCTTGAGTTGTTTTTATTCGAGTTAAAAGGTCTAAAATCTTCAGTACTTCAGACTTCAGACCTGAAGGCAATTCGTATTCGACGAATGAGATGTCTAACTTCGATTGCCAAGGAACACCAGAAGTACGAGATATATTGGATGTTGCACAGGTGCCTTTCGCGACACTTGCTTTTAGAACACCTTCTATCCTTTGAAAAGCGTCTTCGCGGCATGTTGCCGATTTTAAGCTGCTATGCAACGAAGCACATTGGATAGGAGCCTTTCAATTTGACGGACAGAAACTATGTAGTTCCACCAAAGTCGCTTCAAACCCTGATGCCACTTTATTACTTCCGCCAGTTTCTCCCATTCCACTGGAACTTCTTCAGGCGTTTCCAGTGTCTTTTTGGTTATCGCTATTTCACGTCGTTTTACCATGGATACAATCTTGGGAAGGTATAGGGAACTCGAGGCAATTGGGCAAAACATGTTATTTTTATCTAATAAAACAGTTACTACGCGAAATACGTGAAAACTTAGTGAAAATTTCCGGATCAGTCTGTGAAACGTTTACATTTTAAAGAGGGAAACAGGTGTGCGGAATCAGAGAAAGTACGGAAGGTTTCCCGGAATAGGGCGTTAATAACAGAGACTCGATCGGCGTCTATTTCAAACTTCTAATTGATAAATTGAAGTCTTAACGAGTTCATCCGACGACGAGGCTTGCTCCTCGGTTATTGTGAAACACGGTCCGTTCTCGAAAGCGTACGGCTTCGAGTAATTTAAAATTCCCTCGAATCTAAGTTTTCTCATTTGTCCAGCGAAACCTGTCGATGAACTGTGTTCCACGAAAACGAGAAATCTTAAGAAGCTCCTCTCGTTGATTTCGTAAAACGGGTTTTGGTCGCCATCGGGATAAACGATGAATAAAGAGAATTCCTAGGGTGCGATAGTTTCGTCCATTTTTTCATTTCCTTCGTAATAATTTGGCGGGGCGAGCGTCATACTTCGACGTACTGGATGAAGCTCAAAAGCGGTTAAGGATCAAAGGGGAAATAGCTGGAAAGTTAGTGGCCGAGAAAACGCGGTCTCGAATTCGAAACCGGACGACGTTCGTTGAAAGATTCACGTAACTATGGATCCGTAAAGAACCCACGGAGAAAGTTTCGCCACGGCAAACTAAGAACAAGAAAACGGATGAAAGTTTTGGTCGCTTACGCGCGTGACGTAATCAAAGCCAAATCGAACCGATGGGATTATGCTGGTCCACGCAAATCCCCCTTTAACGTTCTTCATCGCGTATGTCGTCTCGGTTGACGTCGTCTTGATGCGCGGAGCGTGATCCACGCCTCCGGACACTGTTCTCTCCATTGGTTTCATCGATATTCCAAAAATGTTTTCCTTTTTCCGATTACACGGAAGACGTTTTTCAATCATCTCCATTTAATAAATTCATTCAATAATTGTTTTATTGAATGTTTAAAATAAAAATTGCATTCACAACATTTGAATATAGAAAATATTTTGAATTTTACTCGTATTTTTCTCGAAAGAAGGGATGCAAGATGTAGCATAGTACTTTGAACGTATCTAGAGGTTACGTGTCTGCTCTCGCGGTGCGCAGACTTAACCCATCTTAACCGGATATGTTTTTGTAGTCGGGGCTGTTTGAAATTTCGTGTACTCTATCACCCACCGGTTCGTTGTCGAAACTTCAACCCAAGCGTAAAAGCAACAAGTTTCTATATAGCGAATTTATAGTTGAGAAAACTTCTCGTCTAACTATTATCTCGTACATAGCCGAGTGTGAACTATTTGAGAATTTTCATCAATTTACCGTTCCGATGAGTCTATTCTCCAGCGGTGAACAGGGAGTCTCTTGGCGAAATGACCCATGCAAATTTTCCCATTCGGCTGTTGGCTTCATTTCAGTTCGCAGATGCTGAAACGGTGCAGGAATTTCGTTCCGGTAATCTGGCAGATCGCAGGTACGAGATTTCACGAGTTTTCCTGTCGCGCGCTTAATGTCCCGCGCCGGAGAGAAAGAGCAGGTCCGAGCTTATCTTGAGCGACAATGAGCGAGAGAATGCTGCGTAATGTAACGACCCACTCTCCATTACGTATGCACGCGAAATTTAACGACGTAGTCGCTACTCGAGGCTGAAAGCCTCCGCATCCCAGTTAGAGTGTAGTAATTAAGCGCTGCTTAAAAGAGTACACCCTTTGAACGGTGACTTTCAACTTCTCTTTTTCTATTCGAAACTTTATTGCTGATCGCTGCGGTTTCGCCAGCTTTCAACGGGGAAACTGATGAGCTTAAGACAAGGAAAGGTTTCGATAGCAGAACGCCAAATCGCAATCTCGTTGATGAATCTTTGTATCGAGATTGCAATTCGATAAGATCAATGAGCAGTTAACAGTTTCCGTAAATTCAATTCATTCAATCCGTGTGAAATCAGATGCCAGAGGTCCTCATTATTTTTCTTATATTTAGTATATATTTATATTATTATTATACACTCACCTATTTGCCTCTGTATTTTATGCAAGAGCCATGCATCAATTTTCTGCAAGAACGATACTATCGAATTTGTTTTTGTTTCCTTAGACATAGAGCTAGTAACAACGAAATTGAGCCAGCTACGTGCATGTGTTAGTTTCCCCTAGGGGGACAAAATTCAAAACGAGTAAGAAGTCAAAATCTTATTTTTTCGATGCTCGATCTCGCATTGATATTGTTGGATTTTAACATAATTTTGACGCGTCAAAATAAAGATAATGTTAACCTACGCACATTATCACCACCTACATTAAAATTCTTTTTATTTTGACGCGTCAAAATTATAATAAAATCGAACAGTACCGATGCCAGATCAAGCATTGAAAAAATAAGATGTATACTTATTACTCGTTTTGAATTTTGTCCCCCTAGGGGAAATTAACACATGCACGTAGCTGGTTCAATTTCGTTGTTACTAGCTGTACAAGTAAAAGTGTAAAACTACGAAACTATTCATTTTCCTTCCACTGAACGAAAGATATTACAAATCTGATGTCTGTCATACAGGTAGCTTATACGAAAAAGCGATATTTGATTAATGTTTTAGGAGAATATTTTCCGTGTAATAATCGCCGGAGGTAACCTAATTAGACAGCGGCTAGCCGCGGAACCGACGTAATCCGAAGTTCGGTGAAAAACCGGCGGCTGCTCCAGTTATCCCAGACGCGACTAAAAGGTGGCTTTCAAGCTTCGAGAAAGTACTGCAATGAAACAGTCGCGGCGCGTATAAAAGCCCGCGTCCATTAGTCCCCTCGTAACTCCG